TGTGCTACGAGCATATCTTGCCTGGTCTGTAAGTTTTTGTACATTTTTTTCCTAAGTGAAATTTGTCTCCCCCCACCTCCCTACCCAGTGTGATCCTAAGTTCTTAAAAAACTTGAGGGAAAACATTTATCTAATTTATTAAAAGAGAGAACTTTCCTTGAAATGTAAATGCTTTCAGGAGTAAACTCCTGAAAGGGGAAACACACTTCTTTTAATGCCCGTAAACACTTCACTCCTTTCGTGTATGCCATTTGATTTGCACATGTACAAATGGACAGGCTTTTTGCATTTTTGCCTAGATTGGGTTTTTGTCACTGCTTATAGTTTGCTTTTTCTGTGTTTGCTGTATGTTTGAAAATATTGAGACTGTTTCTTTGATATTTATTGTTTCTCTGCTGTGCCTTTTCACTTGTCTTTGGGGTTGGCTTCTGGAATCTGGGTGTTGCTGAAGGAAGACAGCAGACTCCTCTAGCTTGGAGATAAGACATGTCCTCTGTCACTGCAGACAGTCAGTCTGGGCGCCAGAAACACCCTCCAGGCCCCCTAGGCCATAGTGTACGTGCATATACAGCCCCATGAAGCCGTGAGAACCCCAAGAGAAGGGCTAGCTCCCTCCAGACCAGCCCATACCCTCCCAGGCTCCTCAGCCATGTCTTTGGGTCTGTCCGCTAATGTGCCAGTGGGTCTGTGCTATCTGCTGCGCGGGCACTTGGTGAGGTGTGGCCGGGGCAGAAGACCAGCCCTGTCTGAGGTGTTGTACTGAAAGGTCTTAGGCCCTGCTGAGCTCCTTAGTAGCAGTGGCCCCAAAACACTTTATCCGGTTAACATCATAAGGGGGACAGACTATGCACCCCGTTGTTTTGTTTCCTTGGCGAACACAGGGTTTAATAAAGGTGACTACTTAGCTTCCCTTTGGGAGTAGAGCCCCAGGGCAGCTCACCAGTAGTGGAGGCATGAATCTGACAGGTTGAACTGAAACTGAGCTGCTTATAGGTGGGTTTGTGCTCTTCAGACCAGACCAAGGCAGGCCACCCCATTTCTCCAAGGCGGTTTACCTAGATTGTGTATATAAGTGGGACATTGCCACCCTCTTCCATGCCCCCAAAATTCTTGATTTTAAGAAAAGAAAGTCTATTTTGTTAACGACAGGCTCTGTTTTATGTGTTACTTTTCCAAGCCTGGATTGTTTTATTTATTTAAAAATATTTTAATTGTCACATTGGCTTCCTTGTAACCCCGTCCATCCCCATAGGGCCGCAGAGCACCTTCATGTGAAGAGATGGATGGACATAAATAGCTTCAGACTTCTTTAGGAAGGGGGAGATTTTCTAAAGCTGAGGGTGAGTTCCTTTCATTCTTGTTGGCTTCCAACAAAAAGTGGAAAACCAAGTTTTTATAGCAAAAGGCCAAATTAGCTGTATAGTCTCGGATGCAGATAAAACTTACCCTAGCTTTCTTACCACTTAGGGTTTTTGTGAGGATTCAGTGTTTAGCAGTGTCTGGCATATAGTAAGCTCTAGTAAATGTTAAATATTGTTGTTAGCATCTCATAAAATTTGAGAAATAAAGAGCTGAGCTCACTCCCTATCTGTTGATTCAAAAGTAATACTTACATGAAAATACTATTCCAAGTTGATGGAATGTTGTAGGAATGACGGGTTTAGGATATATGTCTGAGTCTTATGCCCGCCCCGCTGCTTGAAATCTTACTGTCTCCTTGAATGCACTGACTGATTTGAAAATACGCCCGACTTCAGCCCCAGATGAAACTAGGCTGCAAGAATTTATAAACTACAGATGACAAGGGTGACCTTTGGCCACATACTGGACCTCACCCCACTGTTATCTTCTGGACCATTCCAGAGTTTTTCTTTGCACAACTTTTTGAGCTAGAAATTAAAATGAGTTCTCTGACAGACTCTACCCCTTAAGTCAAAGTTAACTATATTCCTCTGAAATGCAATAATAAAGGCTTTTCTGTTTTTTATTTAAGGGGAAAGGAATGACCAATTGAACTTACTCATTCCCCAGGAAGTCCCTTTGCTGTCCCCTGCTGGCCAGGGCGGCCCCTCCACAGTCCAGTCCACAGGGATCAGACTCCCGGGCTGATTAGCTGTCACATGTTTCTATCAAATGAAAGGTTAATTCCATACCCGCCCTGGGTGGGGAGGATGTCATCTTTAGAACCTCTCCCAGAGGCTGCTAGTCATTTAATGATGTTTTCCCAAATCACCTAAATAGCAGTTCACTTTTGTTTTATTGGGGTTTTAGAGTTTTATCTCCTCTCCTATTTGGCCCCATTCTGGGTAGATTGCAGTTGTGGAATATGAAGGAATTTGCTGGAGTCATGTCTTTTTAAGATCCTTTGGATTCTCTTCAACTGAATCAGCAGTCTTACACTTCTGTGGATGTAGGATTGATATTTACCTTCTTCCGAGCATCATTTCCTCTATCCCAGATTTTGTGAGGCCTTAAGATTATCTCCACCACCCCCTTGCAGCTGGTGAGGCATGGCAAAGGGACCGAAGGGGAGCCATGTGCTCACTCAGTGGGCGGGCCCATGCCTGGAGGGGGGGCAGGTAGCAGTGGGTGGTCAGAGAGCATTTGCAGCACTGGGGTCTGAAATCCTTGCTGGGACAGCAGGACGGGAATTTAGCACAGTCTGCCACCTCCGCCAAAGCTGAGATGGGGCAAACTTGGGAAGCATTTTGCTCCTTGTCCTGCCGAGTATTAACAGGACAATAGAACACTCAATGCCAAAGGAGGTGGTGACGTCCTTTCTACTGTAGTTGCTGTCACAACCTTGATGACTTTAAGCTAATGGCCGTTCGCGTCTGTGTCTTCAGCCAGCTCCTGGTACTACCATCTTCCTACTGTTCACTTCTGGGGTTAAGTAGTGCAGGATTCTGCAGATAAGGTGTTGCTGTCCAAACGTACTGTACCGGCGTAGAGAGCACGGCTTTGTTTTCCACTGTTGTAGAAAAAACTAGGGAGAACTTTATTTTTCAATAAACTTTTCTTGTGTCACAGGTGGGAGTGATTTTTGGGGGCTGGGTGGGTGCAGGGTCCCCTGCAGAGCAAAGCCCAGCTGTCGTCCAGCCCCGTACCCTACGTGGCGTCCACTGACTGCATCTCACTGTTTGCAAACACACTGCTGAAAATGCCAATAGAACGGTGTGTGTAAGGAGTGGAGGGGAAAGGCTTTACTGTTGCGTATTCTTTCCCTTACAGCACGTCCACCGGTGCTAATTGCTGAGCCCCTGGAAGGGAACTGAATTAGAAAAGTGGACCGGTAGGCTATTTTTGGTTTTTTTGAGATAACTGTGTACTAGGTAAGATGTTTAAAAATCTTTCTTTAAGGATGTGGTAGCAAAATAGCCCTTATAAGGCTATCTGAGGGCCTCTTAGACCTGGAATATGTTCCCGCTCCTCACAAAGAGCACTTTTTGACCCAGCGCTCAGTGGTCCATGAGCACTTGGTTAGGCACATGCCCTGGAAACACGAGGAGGGTCAAGTCCGTGCCCATACCAAGGGCTCGCCTATGGTGATGCCGGAGGGCCATGGCTCGGCCCTCATCAGCACAGCCTTTCCTGGCTACTACACAGAATGGAGACAGACACCATGCAGTTCCCATAGCCTGTTTGGTGGGAGGGAAGTTCCAAAAAAGGTGCCAAGAAAAACCTGAATGTGTATGTTTAGGGGATGCTACATCATAGCTTCCACAATGTATATTAATTACATGCTATGAGGAAACCTGCAGAAAAGAAACCTGTTAGTTAAAGCATGCATTTCCCAAACCTGCTGGAACAGTTAACTGTTTTTTTCCATGTAGCATGTTAACATCCCCTAGAACTCTCTTCAGAATGCTGTTGGAGGAAGCCCTGCTGACGCATCAGCTTGAAACAAGGTCAGTGAGATCTTAGACCACCCTCCCTTAACCAGCCTGAAATAGCCGCTTGGGAGACAGGGCACAGGTGGGAGCGAGGCCTGGGAGCAGCCATCCCTCAGCCCCAGGCAAGATCAGCTCCAGGGGCCTCAGGTACCAACAAATGAATGTGTGGACACTCTCCCCGACCTGAGCGGGCGGTGGGCCTGCCCCACAGAGCCCATCACAACAGTCCTCCCGGGTCTCCACTCACACTCCCCCGAGGCACAAGCGACCCCCTCCACGTCATCCTTCAGTCACAACAGAAAACCTGCCCACGACGGTGACAACTCTCAAAGATGACCTCCCGTACCATACAAAACAGGTAAAGGTCTTTATTGGTCAGACACTGTCGCCGGCACGAGCGTCAGTGCTAGAGGTACAGAATGTTGCGTGTTGGGGGAACACTTGTACGGACTCTATACCTAACATGACAGAAACGGAGAAATCTTGTTCCTTACACAGGAGTAAGCCATCTCTAACAGACTGTAATGTACCATTACCACTTAACACAGCATATAGATATATGCATACATGGATAGATTATATCATTATTTATTACAAATAAACTGTAGTTTCACATCTCTCAAAAATGGATCTTGTTTTTACATGTATGTTCAGGTTCTGAATATACAAGAAAGGGTCATGTGCTTAGTTCGTCCATGCAAAGCTCATACGTATATCACTAAGTACTTTAAAAATAGAATGGTCTCCTTTTGGACAAATCTGTCTAGATTGAGGATTAGTAAAACAGTATGAAACTAATGAAATACATTGATAGAAGTTAGGAAGTGATACATACTGATGGTTCTGGGTATGTAAAGGGGTGAGGGACAAAAGGATACAGTCTTTCCTTAAAATCTGCCAGGAGATAAGGGACTCTGGAGCTAGGAGGTGGCTGGGGCCACATGGAGTCCAGAGGAGGTGGGTCTGGTCAGTTGCTATCCAGTTCAGGCTCAGAGCACCACAGAACAACTTTCTGCCAAGCAGGGATCTTATGCTACCCACAAGAACCTTTTTACTCCAATAAATAGAAAAGGTCGCTGGAGATCCCCATGGATCTCCCTGCTGGATATGGGGAGACCTGTCTCCCCTCCTGTGTGCATTGTCTTAAGGTGTTTGACGAGGGCAGTGGAGCGAGGGGGAGCAGTGCAGACCGACCTGCTGGGCAGACCTCATTCCCATGTGCACAAACTTTCCAAAAAAGAAATTGGATGTTCAGTTAAATATTGGCACCATCTGCCTGTGTGGAAACTTCTTGTCGTCCTGACAGTCTTCAGGCGGATGCAGAGCTGACGGCTCTGGCCACCTTCACTCAAACATCTCGTAGTGGCGCGTCTGCCTCACCCTGGGCACCATGTCGATGAGGAGTCTGCAAAGAGGAAACAGACAGGTCACCCCCCAACACACCCTCCACAGCCCCGGGGCTTGAGCGCTTGGGGAAGCAGACAGGAAGTAGTTTTTTTTACATATATATGTCACATACCATAAAATTCACCCTTTAAAGTGTACAATTCAGTGGGTTTTAGTATATGCATAGTGTACAACCATCATTACCATCTAAAACCAGAACATTCTCATCACCTCAAAAAGAAACCCCAAACCCACCAGCAATCACTTCCCAGTCTCCCCTCTCCACCTCCCCCTGGCAACTGCTAATCTACTTTCAATCTCTATAGATTTGCCTCTTCTGGATATTTCCTATAAATGGAATCATTTGATATGTGGCCTTTTGTAACTGGCTGCTTTCATATGTTTGAGGTTCATCCACGTTGTAGCATGGCTCAGTACTTCATTCTTTTTATGGCTGAGTAACACTCCACTGTATGGCTCTACCACATTTTATTCATCCATTCATCAGTTAACAGACAATGGGGTTGTTTCTACTTTTTGCCTACTATGAATAATGCCACTATGAATGTTCATGTACCAGTGTTTGTGTGGATGTGTGTTTTCATTTCTCTGGAGGATATACCAAAGACTGGAACTGCTGGGTCAAATGGTAACTCCACATGGAACATTCTGAGGAACTACCCAACTGTTTCCAAAGCAGTTGCACCATTTTACATTCCCACCAGCAATGTATGAGAGTTCCAATTTCTCCACATCCTCGCCAGCACTTACTGTCTTTTTATTAGAGCCATCCTAGTGGGAGACAGGAAGCATTTTAACATTTAAAAACTCAGTGCCTTTTAGAAACAGTTCTCTCAAAGGCCGACTCCAGCCTGGATGCTGGATGTGGAGTCAGTGATGCCCACATAGGACTTCTTCAGTGAGAGGGCGCACAGTGGGCTAGGACCCAAGGCCCAGGGTGGGTTTGTCCTCAGCGTGGCCCTTCTGCACTGTCCCGTCTGTAAAAAGTTCTCTAAGTGGGGGGGGCCCAGCATCTGGCCAAGTGGTGCTGCTTGGCCTTCCCCCACTCACTGTAGCATCACCCACATGTAGCAGGTGGCAGAAGGGACCTTACCCGTGAGGACACTACACAAATGCACCTGCCCAGTGCATCATTACAACTCCTATGACGGAGAAAGGAAGTGGCACAAATCTTCAGGCATGAGTGGTTAAAGGGAGGACCACAGAGCAGACTATAAAAACAGCAGACAAAAGTAAAGGAGGCCCTTTGTGACTTAAACCCCAGGCCTCTTGTCAAAGTCCTTGCCTCACTTCTTTGCCAGCCACAAGAATATCTGACTCCTGCTGGGGGCTTTTCCAGTCACCTGACCTCAGCCAGGCCCAGGAAGGTCACAGGTACAGGATGTGACCACTGAAGGTGGAAAATACAGCCCCCCTCACCGCAGGGAAGCAAAGATGAAAACAGGAACTTACTTGACCCCATAGGCAAATATGGTGAGGCCGATCAGCACACCTATGCTGCCATCCAGGTACCAGACTGCCGAGTCATGCTTGAACACCTCCGCACTCAGAAGAATGGAGAAGCCCATCACGCCACCCACGAGGGAGTTAAACCCTGGAGAAGAAGGAAAGAGGCTGAGGGCAGTGCCAAGTGAACTTCGTGAGCCACCAAGAAAACTACCCAATGCCAGGCGTGCCTCCACATTCCAGAGCGTGTGCTGGAAGGAACGTCGCCCAGGAGCACTCTTGTGGGTAACAGTCACCACCTCAGATGCCCACGTGGCTTGTAAAGTCTCCACTCGAATGACACCAGAGTCCTCCCTGGATAGAGCCGTCACCCCCACTGTCCGTTTCCATCCCCTGCCAGGCACTTATGCCCGCATGACGTAGCCTGTGTGTGGTTCCTGGCGGTCTTCCTCCCATGCCCACCAGAATGCAGACCATGAGGAACTTCCATCCCTGTAGAACCTGCCGTGTCCGGGACAGTGCCTGGCACACAGGAGACATTCAGATCTTGGTGACTCAAATCTGTTGAATGTCTGATGGGCCAAGTACTAAGCTGGGACCTTCTCAATCCTATGAAGTCAGTTCATAGGATTATTATGATAGGATTATTATCCTCATTTACCAAGGAAAGAACTAGGTTAAGCAGAGTTAGTTAAAGTTAAATAAATTGACCAGAATTGTACAAATAGAGAGGGGCAGGGCTGGGGTTCTATCTGAACCCAGCTCCTTTCCTTCCAGAGTCTCCTTAAGTCACCCAGGGATTCTCACTCCCCAGGAAGAGAAATGCAAAGTCTAGAATTCACTGCATGGCTGTAGAACTGGCAGTCGAAACAGAACTGGAGCCAATAGATATCGATCACCATCTCCTCTCACATATGTTACCTCATTTGGTCCCCACAGTTTGGGAGTCACACTTCCATTTTACCTGTGAGTTTTCAACGGCCACACGGGAAAGGAGGAGCTTAGAGTGGCTCCTGGGGTCTAGCTGTGGGGTGAGCCACAGGCTCCTTGCCTGTCTCAGCCTAATGGTGGCCTGGAGGGAAGCTCCAGGTCCCTGCTGCCCCAGTGGTCCCCTGGCAGCTGGTCTGTGCAGGGCCAGTGACCTGCCAGCAACAGGCCCTGCTTTGTTCCTGGGGCAGCTGCACCTGCATTGCAGTACTGTGCTTTTGCTGAATTCAAAAGCATTAACTCCAGGTTCAAGTGGGAAAATGGAGATCAAACAACTTTAAATGCATTCACTGGGGGCTGGACACCTAGGGGAGAGGTTCTAAAGGAAGAGCAGGGAGAGAGGAAGAGCGAGGGGGTAGAGATGATCTGAGAAAAGCCTGGTAAGACCCCTTTCTCAGGATCCAAGAGGTGGACTCCAACAGGCTGCTCCCCGATAATGGGAACAAGATGAAGCAGGGGCCTGCGGGGACAGCTCTGAGTGCTGCATCACACACTCTTCCCTTCCCTCGCATCTCCATCATCTCCCCACTCCAATTCTCAGCTGGTGACCCAGCCTCGTACTTATTAGAGCACAGAGGTTCAGACAATATCGTCCCAACACTAAATACACCTCTCACCTGTGACTGCCTCCCCCACATGCTTCTCTGTCATCCCTGTGTAAGGCTAACTCCTTCAAACCTGTTCATCAAAGGACTTGGTTCTTGAAATTCTCCCTCTCATGGATCCTCCCCACGGGGAGAAATCTTACCATCACCCACCTCAAACTCCTTCCTTGACCCCATGCCACCCCCAACACAACCCCCACTCACTATCGCCCTTCACAGAACTCCCTCAAGAGTTGTCTACTCAGGCTGTCTCCATATCTGCACCTCCCCACTCTCTTCACCCCATCCCCCTCAGGTTCCCTCCTCCCCACTGCCGTCCCTGAGGTCATGGATGACGATTCCATGCTGACACATGCCAAGGTTAATTCCTGGTCCTCATCTTACATCCTCCTTCTGGGAACTCTTATTTGGCCTTCCTTCCCTGACACTGCACTCTGCTGGCTTTCCTCTCCACTCTAGCTATTCTTAGTCTTCTCTGCTAGATCCTCCTCCTCTTCCTCATCTGAGTTCCCAGCTCAGTCCTCTGAACTCTCCTCTATCTACATCCTCCCCCTAGGTTATCGTCTCCAATCCCATAAGCCAGTGTCTCCCAACTTTCTCTCTTTTGTCCTGACCTTTCCCCTCAGCTGCAGACTCACTCATATAAGCATCTCAAACTGAATATGTTCAAAACAAAAATCTCAATTTCTGTCCCCGGATACCTAACCCGCTAGCCACCTTCTCTGTAAATGGTGCCACCATCCACCTAGCTGTCGAGGCCAAAAATCTAGGAGCCCATCCTTGACTTCTCTCACACCCCAAATCCAATCAATCCCCAAATCTAACCAATCCATGAAGTAACTCTTGCCAGTTGTTACCTCCAAAACTCATTCTGTCTCTCTACCTCTCACCCCCGCCCCCGCCCAACCCTGGCCCAAGCCACGCCATCCCCTGCCTGCACCCCTGCAACAGCATCTTCACCACCTTCTCTGGTTTCCCTCCTGCCCACATCTCCCTCCAACCACAATCCACTCCCCTCACAGCAGCCAGAAAGCCAGAGTGACCTTGGTAAGTGGACAGCAGCCAAAACCTCCAATAGAAAATCTGCCCAATTTTGAATACTGTCCAAAGTCTTCAGGGCTGACAAGACATGATGTGATCAACCCTCCCGGCCTCTCCCACATCACGCCCACAGCTCTCTTCCTCGTTTACTGTGCTCTGGCCACACCCACACCACCTGCAACAGCCAACCCTGGCCTCCCCACAGGGCCTTTGGACTTACCACCCATCAGCCCGGACCCCTCCTCCTGGGGTCTCCCGTGGCTGCCTCCTTCCAGCCTGAACTCTGACACCATCAGAGCCCCTAATGCGATTCCTCTTTACCCGGCCACACCCTCTGACCTTCTCATCCTTGCTGCGGCTTCATTTTTCTCCACAGTTCTTCACTTCATAACACGATATTTTTACCATTTTTCTTTTTACAATGATCTCTTCACCACTAGAACATAGGCTTAAGGACAGAGAATTTCTCTCTCTTCTTGCTATATTCCAAGTCCCAGAACAGGGGCTGGGACTTCTCAAGGGCTCAACTGATTGCTGCATTAATTCATGAATTATCAGATGGAGGAAAGGAGGAAAGGAAGGCATGGGGCATGGCCTTAGTGGTGCTAAGAGGGCTCCTACTCTGCAGCAGCAGCCAGGCTGACCTGTCCCGAGAGAGAGGAAGCCACCGCTGCTCAGGCTCTGGCAGGGCCTGTGGCTAGAGCTCCGGGGAGCCTGCCATCAAGAAGGGGTTTTGATCTGGGCCCAGGGTGCACTCCTGCACTACAGGGTGTGGCCTGGGGCTCCCTGGAGAGTCAGCCTCCCCAGTCCCTTCTGAGGCTTTCCGCAAGCTTCACACCTGGTTGACCCTTCCAACCCAATTTCACATGGATAAAGGTGACAAGAAGCGACTAGGAGAGGCAAACTCCTCAATCTTCCTCCCACTTGGAGGCTGCATCCTCTAGAGACCAACCCAGAGAACTGTGTCAAGAGAGGGCTCTTCCACGTGGGGCCTCTACCTGCCTGGAGGCAGAGCACCTCCACCCATCACCCACTAGGGTCCCCTCTGCCGGACAGCCAGCCTAGGTGCCCTGGGGAGAACGGGAGGCAGGAGCAGAGGTGCTGACTTCAGCCTCACCTATGATGTGTCTCACCAAGTCCCAAGGCCAAATCTTCAAGTCTTCCACCTCTAACCATGGGAGTGAGGGGCAGGCAGGCCCCCTCCCCATGCTGCCTCCTGGCTTCCCCTTATCAGGGTGGCCCAGGGGCAAGGCTGCAGGCTGAGCCCCCATGGAGTTTGTTTCTGTGGCTCCTCCCCCTCACTCACCTCTGGACAATGAAGAAATGTGTTCAGCATCCTTTCAGCTCCATCCTCCATGCAGTTCGCGTAGCAGACCCTCCTAAGCCCACATGTTTTAAAAGCACAATGGCCCACCTGCAGCCTTTGTCACCACAATGGAAAGCTTTGTGCCACCTGGGTCCTTCCCAGCCCCTTGCATGTAGAGTACATGGGAACTTCCTCCTTCTCGGGCCCGCCAATGGGGTTTGGCCTCTGCATATCACACCATCAGTTCTGCCTCCACACCTCCCAGAGCAGGGGGACAGCGGGTCCGCTCTGAGAAGGGCAGGCTGATACATCAAGGTCATACTTCCCCTCTCCCATTATGGGAGGCTGGTGTTTACCCTCTTGCGTCTGGCTGTCCCTGGAATCTTCCTGTTCTTTTTAACAGGTGGAATCAGCCCAGTCTTCAAAAAATAAAAATCTCTGCAGACTTTTTTTTCAGAAGGCCACCAAAAGCATCAGCAGAAGCCCCCACTCTGTCACGGGTTCCCTGGGCTAGAGTTTACCTCTCAGGCATTCTCCAAGTTGGCAGAATTTTTGAGGGGGGCTGACTAGAGGAAAGAGAGAGACAAGGAGGAGATGGCCGCTGCCCCAGGACAAACTGGAATTCTTCACTCTCCTCTCTTCTTCTTTGTCATGGCATAAGTGGGCCCCTGGAGCCCTCAGAGAAGCCCGGTGGAGCTCAGAAAGGATGCAGAGAGCATGTGAGGTTCCCCCAGACAGCCACTAGATGTCCACTCAGCTCCACCAAGTCACCCCACTCTGCCAGCCACGGACAGACCAGCCTCTGGCTTCTGACAGCAGGGCCCACCCACACGTGCTCCCACCCAGGTGTGCTCCCAAGAGCTCGTAGCTGATGGATCTGCGGTGCATTCACCTTCTAGGAGGAGCCTCTGACTTGCTCAGCTCCGCTCACCTTTGCTTGTAACAGAGCCTGACTCAGTTCAGCCTCACCTCCTGTAAGCCTGCGCAAGAAAGCTGGAAGGAGCACACCGGGACTGGGGCACGGTTCCTTGTCTGCCCTGCCACAGCCTTCGGGATGTTAGAGCCTTCCCAGCACAGTCATTCCACATGAAGACCCTGAGCTCACAGCCCCGCCCACCAGACCACCCATCTTCCAACGCAGCGCACAAGGCCCTGTGGGTCACTCACCTCTGGGGAGATGTCCCCACCCCACCCAGGCCCACAAGCTCGTCCCTCAGTTAAAACCAGAGCTGTTACAAAGAATAAATGCTGTTACTGGTTTAAGAACACAAAATAATGTCGGAGGCTATCTTGATTAGAGGCTCTACCAGACTGGCCTTAATGACAGGTAAGAATCTGTATAATTAAGCACATTAATTTTATGCAGAAAATTCTGATTAAAAGTTTTTCATGTGCTTGAAAACCATCATAGACTCTTCGTGTTTTAGAATCTTGAGAGCGCGAGTACAGTCTGCCCGGGGCCCTCAACTCAGAGAGGTTTCCAGCTGTCCCCGCAGGGAGCACTGGAGATTCCCCCAGGGACCTTTCCACAATCTTCCTCTGCCTGATTTGTAATATTAATTTGCTGTAAAAAATCATTTTACCTTAAATAATACAAAGCCAGCTTCAGCCTAGTCCTCACAGCAACCATCGCTTGTTTACTAAACAGCCAAATCAACAAAACCAAATTCAACAAGATTTACTGCGCTGCATGGCACGGAGTGGGGAGGCCTGGAATTTACCCACCTCCTGCTGCCCCCTTTTCCCCAAAGATCTGCTTTCTGGCTGTAGGGACACAACCCAGCGACAAAGGGTCTGGTGGAGTCAGCCTGACCAAGTTCACACACAGCTCGAGCCTGGGAGGCAGCCACCTCACCTGCTGACAGGTGAGGCCCGCCCACCCTGCACCAGAAGCCGTTTGCTGCCCTTGCTTCCTGCTTGGAGAGAAAGCGCTTGGCATGCCCGCAGCCCTGGGCCAGACCTCGAGAGGGGCATTCCCAGGGTAGCGGCCACAAGGGATGCACCCTAGAGCCAGTCCCTCAGAACACCCCCAATATTAGGGCTAGGCATGGTCCCGAATCCCATCGTGCCCCCACCTCCCAAAGTGAGGGAAGAACAGGGAGGAGATAATTACAGATGGTTCCCTAGCTCTGCTAATCAATGAAGGAGTAAAACTGGGATCCCAGACAATGCAATTAGCAGGAGGCTGTAATTACTGTGCAGATTTTGCTGACACTCCCACCAAGCAAGTGATGCGGAGCACACCAACCCCCCAGGGAGGCCCTTTTGGGGAACAGGCTTGGGGACAGGGGTACTGCCTCTGCTCTTTGCAGTAGCGCTCTGTTTTTCTGTCTCTCTCACCAACCCCCATGGCCAGTTCATCCCCAAGCCCTGCCCATTTTATTAATATCGCCAACATTTCCTCAAATCCCCTACATCCTCGCCACTCTGCCCTCACCCCTGTCCATGCCACTGCCACCCCCTCAGATCCTCCGAGACGGTCCCTGCTTCAGCCCTTGTTCCTTCCGCTCTGTTCTCTACCTTGACGGACAGGGGGCTCTTTAGAAAAAAAATCAATCATGTCACCTTATCTATTTAAATATTTAGCAAAATATCCAAAATCCTACCCTTGACCTAACGTCCTGCACGACCTGCCCAGCCCTCGCCCCATGAGTCCGCTTCCTCATGCACCCCCTCAGATGCCCCAGGCTCTCTCCCACAATTCCCTCCACCTGAGGAAAGTTCTCCCCCACTTTCCACCTGTTTGTGGAACAATTTTCACTGAAACCATCCACTTCTCTTTTAATGACCTCTCCCTGGTTTAAGAGTATGATGGAAATACCGCTTATGTGTATGGACAGTTTCATGTGATAATTATGAAGTCAGAAGTTATTTCGTTAGAAAAAAACATACTTATCATTGAGGTCTTCTCTGTACACCAAGTAAAATGGTGGGAAGTTAGAAAAACAGTGAAGCCTAAATAGAATCTTAGTATCTGGAATATCTGTAAAATGTTAAGTAAAACCACCAGTCAAGGCAGAGGGCCGGCTGTTCTGAGGTGAAGGGGGTCAAACCCCATGGTCACGGATGGGGAGGGGGACAGGGCCCCCTGCCTGAGGGCCTGGGGGGTGGGGGTCTGACTGCTAGGTCCACATTCAGGCTTCTAGAGGGAGCTTCCTGTGTCTGAACTGTGTTCAACTAAATAGATAAAATGCTGATACTGAGAGGTTTTATGACTTAAGGGTCCAACTCAGGACTGGGAAAGGAGCCCCTGGGTACTGACCACTGGGAGCCCAGAAAGCTGTGCTGACCGGTGCAGCCCCCTGAGGCCTGCCTTCCCCATCCCTTGTGCTGCAGATAAAGAGACATGGAGAGGGAGGCACAGAACACACTGCAGAAGACAAGTCCAGCCAGGCCTCTGCTCTGTTCAGGCCTGAAGGGCCCAGGCAGAGCTGTGTCCCTCAGAGCAACATAAAAGAACCTCGAAGGCGGCTGGAACATCCACCCCCAAACCCCTGGTTAACGCCTACGCAGCTCTCAGCACGAGCACCCCCTGTGCTGCTCATTCCTAAAAAAACGGGGCCCTACGGCCAAGGCAGGCATTTTCTTTCCAGACTAAAGAGCACCAGACCACAAAAATCACAGGGAATGAACACGTCCCAAATTCTGTGTCTGCCTCAGAGAGGAAAGGGCACCCAGATCAGGCAGGGTCTTGTGGGACAATTAGGGCCAGTTTATGCAAACTGCCCATAAATCCATGATGTCTCGGTGGGTGACAGAGACCTCAGAAGACGTGCCCAGGCTGTGGCCTCAGGCGTGCCTGCATCATTCTCATGGGACAGAACCACAAGGTCTTTGGACCTGGCCCTGATGGAGAGAGCTCTCCATCTATATCAGAGGGGGGATTTAAGTCAGCTGCAACCCCACGTTGGGGGACCAGGCAAGACTCTTCAACAGGACAGACACCTACGAGGGGTAATTCTGATTCTGCCTTAAGAGCTGGTTTCCCCAGCTAACATGGCACTGAGCACAGTACCAGGCACAAGAGAACTCCATAAACCGCCCCCGGTCCAGAGTTACTGCAGCATCATGCTCTAACAGCAGCAAACCCAGACCCCATGGCAGCTGAATCCCAACTGCACCTGGCCTGACCGAAGAAGGCAACCTCAGGGGTTCATCTGGGGCTTGACACACAGAGAGGCCTTCACGATGCTTGAAAGCAGAGCAGGGAACAGGAGGGCTCAACCCCAGCAGCCGATCCTCTTACTGTTTTAAACAGCTTCTGCTGTTTAACAAGTTTTGGTTTCATACGGGTAAATGGCCTTTGCAGCCCAGGGAGAAAGGTGGCATCTCGCAAGGGCGGAAGCAAACAGCAGGCCCTGCTGGAAGTGGTCACTTGGGGAAGGATTCCGAGAGCTGCTGGTCAAAATGGTGTATAGGAGCACTGGACACTGCAGGGTCCACCTTCCCTGGTGACACTGTGTCCTGGCCCCTCGCATTGGCCATGTGGGCAGCAGCAGACCTCAGTGTGCACTGCACGGACTGGGGCACTGGTGTAAAATATGACTTCCTGGGCCTCACCTCACACACCAGAATCAGCATCTTCAGAGCTGAGGCCCAGGAATCTATGTTTTCAACAATCACCGCGAGCAATTCTGATGCTGCCAGTGGTAGTGGTCAACGGATTAGCTTCTGGGGTCCCCTGGTTTTGCAGTCAGCCTGTTAGATCATGTAACACCATCTTCTGCAGGCCTGTTGAAAGGAACCCCACCCACATACATACACATGGGCGATGCCACTGTCAGGGCAGCTGCGGTTGAAAAGCTGGAAACCTCACTTTGATTCCCTGCCCACATGCCCTGCTGTGCAAAAGCCCCGCTCCACACACAGCAGGGCATCAGCACAGACGAGGAGTCAGAGCCCACGCGTGTCACCATACTTTGTCACCTGGGAGAGAAGGGCCCTCTGCACTGCCATCCACCCCACCCACAACAGAACAACAGCCACCCATGCACGTCTACATTCACGTATTTCACATAGCAGAGAACCTTGCGAGTTTGGGGAGGGATAGTGGTTCTTTTCTTAAAAAATAAATCCAACAATTTCTGCTATATTTTGTGCAGACACACACACCAACCTACAAGCTTTTACCCTTTGACCTCCCACCCCAGGGTACAGGGGCTCACAGCTCTACTCCTGACCCCCCGAAATGGCACATGCTCAAGAATGAAGACAAAGAAAACGACCAGGTGACAGTGTTTGCCAAGTTTCTTCTTTACGTGCCGGCACTAGTTTGTGTCTGTCCTATTTTCACGCACCCTCCTCTGTCATCCCAAAGTCCATGCAGGAAGCTCCTCCTGACCCATAGGGACACAGAGGGACAACTTCCACCTGGTTTGGGTTTTAAGCAGAGAACACACGGATCATTTCCCCAGCGAGGCCCTGGTAACCGTAACTTAACTGCCAGGTGAGCATCTCACCAGCTGGAGGGGAAAATGAGCATGGAGAATTCACAAAGGAAACTGAGAGAATCCAGAAAAGACATTTACTTCTTGTTTAGAGCAATGCACATAAAAGCCAAGACTCCGGGAAGCCCTTTGCGCTTCATGATTACGAGGCTGGGGAGCCCTGATCCATCCTGTTAGGAGGTCAGGATGGAGGTGATACATGAAGAGTTTATTAAATTCCCAGGGCACAGGACTTCTGCCCTTATATGGGAATGCTGAGAATCATTAAACAGCCTGGGGAGGGGAGGATAGTAGGAACAGATTCCAAATCGTTGAGCTCTTCTGCAAGACAAGCAACTAAAAGTGACCCAAACAGCATCTTCCCTCACTGTGAGCTCAGCACCCAGAGATCAGGCACCCTGGCCTTACTCACCATCAGTTATGAGTGCTCTGCTGGTCAGAACCTTCCCCAGCATAAACTTCAACACCGCCAGGATGCTGCAAAGGATCCCACTTAAAATGGAGACGCTGAACAGGAAATCATCCTAGAAGAGAAAGTTCCAGATTTCAACAGTTCACCTCCTGCTAGAGCAGATTATCTGCAAACTGCTTACCCTCAAGATCGGCTTTGTTCCCAGAACAAATAATTAGTCAGGTATGCTGCCACCAGGTGGGAGTATATTGCTTGTTTTCATATCTCAGTTACTTGTGTCTCTGGTGGAAAAGATGATCAAAAACAGATAATACAGATTTATATTTCCTTAGAAACCCATTAAGTATTTCTTTTCCTATAGGAGATTCCCCTTCCCACTATTCAGCTGAAATGATTGGCAATCACGGATAAATAATAGTCAGAATGCTAAAAACAGTGCATTCTACATAGAGTTTTCCACAGATAATTCAAAAGGCATCTGATGAAGAATTTTGGAACATGTAAGTACACCACTGACCTAAGAACATTTCAACACAGAGCCAACTGAATTTGCCACAGGGTCAATTATGGCTGAAGCTATATATAACCATATTTTTTCCTTAAGTTCACACAAGGCAACTGGAAATTCAAATATAGCCTTCAAGGTGGGAAAAAGTCATCTAAAAATACAGTCTGCTATTGACGTTATGTTTGCACTTCCTATAAGCTGTTACCTTACCTTTGCAAGCAAATGAGTGAGTCACACATGCAAAGGTGAGCACCACTCTCTCACAACATTAGGACCCATCGAGCTCCTCAGCTTTGAGCTCCCATGTGTCACTCCCATGGGACACAGCCTCCAGATTCTCCTATATTAAAACTCAACTGCCAGCAGAAATCTGATAAACCATCATAAATACTCGAAGAAATAGGATTCCTTAAGCACTTTGTTATTCAAATTCACTAACCTAGTGACAGGAAGAGGAAAGACAGCCTATTATCTTGGGTTCAAAACTGAACAAAGTCATTTGAAAAATCACCTCCCTGGAAACAGGTATGTGCATAGCATCAAAGCTTCTCCCCACAACACTGATCAATGGTGGCTGGTTTTAACATATGTTCACAAATCCTCTGCTACCTCCAGGAGGCACAGCTTCATACCCTCTTCCCTTGAGTGTGGGCTGAACTCGTGACTGGTATCTAACAAATAGGGTCTGTTCAAAGGAACCCCACCCACATACATACACACAGGAGGTGCTACTCTCCAGGGGTTTGGGGGTGGAAAGGGAAAAAGAGTGACTTTACAGCAGAGAAACTGGCAACTAATCGTAGCCAGCTGATCAAGATTAACATGACCATTAATAAGTTATACTGATGTCATATTCCTCCTGATGTGCTGGGACCTGACGAGAAGAACACCCCTTGGTGTTCCACCCAAAATCCATAACCTCGGTTGAATTGTGATAAAACATCAAACAAACCCATATTGAGGGACGGTCCACAAAATACCTGAGCACTACTCCTCACACATGTCAAGGTCATAAAAGACAAGGGATGACTAAGAAATTGTCAGATTGGTGACTAAGCAGACGTGAAGACTAAAAGTAACAGGGTGGCCTGGCCTGGATCCTGGAACAGAAAAACGTCATCAAGTGGAAAAGCTGGGGAAATCAGAACAGAGTCTGGAGTTCTGTTAACGTGGAATCTCACAGTTTGGGTAAATGTACCCTGATTATCTTTGTGAGATGGTAACATCGGGGGAGGCTGAATGAAGGGTATATGGGAACGCTCTGTAATGTCTTCGTAACTCTTTTATAAATGTAAAATTATTTCAAATTTTAAAGTTTTTTAAAAATAATCACCTGACTAAAGTTTCACTTCTTCAAATTATCAGTAAAGACTGTGCCAAACCTGCCCTCTTTGCAGATCCCAAGTCTCAGTTGTGCATGAGGCTACACAGCAGGCGCTGGGGGGGTGGGAGTGGGGTAGGGAAGAACGCCCAAACCATAACTCCCTTTGTGCAGGGACTCAATTAATTATGGGAGATGGCACCCACAGGAAATAAAGTGAGCATGATTAAGGAATCACATATCAACGTAGACCCAGGTGCTGATGGGATTCAGAAAGCCCACACTGGGAGACTGAGGCAGTCAACTAAGCATTTTGAGGCCCCAAATTCAGAGGCTGAATGCTCACTTTGCTCTCCCCATGTCTGAAGCCTTTCTGGCTCCGTTCAGTCTCTCTGTTTGCAAAGCCCTCATCCCTAAATTTCCAGAGGTGGAGAAAGTCTGTGTTCACTCCATCTAGGTCCCAGGGAGATGGGGGTCGGGGTGCCCCCTCACCTCCAGATGCATCTCAAGAAGAGCCACCATGGCTTTTGGGGTCCTCTCCTAGGTCTGCTAACCCAGGGAGCCTACTGCCGAACGGGGGCTTGGCTGATGAAGGGCAGTGATGCGCCAGTAGACCTTTGCTCAAATCTAGACTCCATTGCTTACTAGGGAAACAAATCGAAGCTCTCAGATCCCAATCCTGTCTTTCATAAAGGGCAGCGTGGTACCCACAGCCCCTGCCAAGCAGCTGATGTGCAGTAAAAAGTAGCAGTTGTTGTTAAAGGGCCCAAACACATTATCCGTGCATTAACTTATTCCACCCACAGCCACACTAGGTGCTAATGGTGAGCCCCGGACAAAGCATTCCTATAAAAGAAATGTAGGGAACTCACTGCCTAGAATAAAGTATGCATGGTGAAATGTAAAGACATGTAAGAGAAACTATGATTGGGACCCACAGTGGCTTATCAGCAGGAAGGGGTGTTTGAGACCCATCCTTCACCTTAGAAGCTTCACCTTAGAGAAGATTTCCATGGACTGAGTGGCACTGAGGTCTACTTCCTGGAGGAACAGGGGGATGGGGTTATGATGTAACAAAGTAGAAGCAGTGTAGTAGTTAAAGGCACTAAAGCAGAAGCCTCACTTAATAACTGAGTGACTCTGGCAAGTCACTGCACCTCCCTCCACCTCTTCCTCCATTTCCACATCTGTGAAATGGAAAACAGAATAGACCGACCACCCCTGGTGGCTGTGTACTGTGTCCACAGCCACCAGCAGGAACTACATTTCTCAGAATTCCCTTTCTAGGTGGCTCTGAGTCACACTTGGCCACCAGAGACATCTGCTTGAGGCTTGGAAGGCAGAAGCAAAGCGGCCCTCAGTCCCTGGAGGCAGGTGCAGGGCACCAGGTGCTGCCACCGCCCATGGATGTGTTGTTGATCCACAGGCTCAGAGCGGGGAGGGCAGCAGCCAGGCCCACAGCTCCTCCAGCCCCCGCTGGGGCCCCTCCTCCAGCCCTTCTGAGTCCTGAGCCAGGCTGTGTGCAGCTTCACGCAAAAGGCTTCTGTGGCAGGTCACCCATGTCACCGAGGCTGAGACAACAAGGGTTAGGGGCAGTTCTAGTCCATCTTCACGCACCAGGTTGTCCCTGCTCTGCTACACTCTATGCCCAAGTTTCCTTCCTGTCAGGCAGACCCACTGACTTTAGGCCCGGACTCTGGAGCAGAACCCCACCGTCCTGTAAGGTCTCATGCCTGCAACAAAGCCCTATTCTGTGCCACTCAGAGTGGTTCCCTTCTCTGCTTGAATCTGACATACTACTTCCTAAGGATGTTTCCAAGGGCTTAAACAGTGTCTGGCACAGAGTAAATGCTATATTTAAATGTGAAAAAGCCAATATGCAAAACCAGGTTTTTCCTGTCCATGGTTTATTCCTACCAACCATGCTCTGCTCCCTCCCTGGATCAGCTCTGAAGGAGTAACCGCCTTCCTGCAGTCTGGGAGAGCTGAAATTGTGGCCATCCTGTAGCCTCAACCAGAACTACAAGGCTCTCCTCACTATGGCTGCACTGATCTGCTTCAGAAAAAAACAAACCCTGAAGAAGAACCCACAGAGGACCTGGGCTGGCCCAGACCTGCCAAACTCCCTCTCCCAAAGCCAGCTTTCAACATCTTGGACATTCTCTGTGATGTTCCCACCCAGAGCCCACCTGGCTCTCCTCTCTCCACACAGACACCACAACTACTTTTAGCGTGAGCATATCAGAGACGTAGCCATCAACCTGCTCAAACTGCTATGAACTGTTTGTGCCCCCCCCAAAATGCCTATGTTGAAGCCCTAACCCCCAATGTGATCCTATGTGGAGATGAGGCCTTTGGGAGGTAATTAGGGTTAGATGAGGTCAGGAAGATGGGCCCTCATGATGGGATTAGTGCTCTTATAAGGAGATTTCTCGCTCTCTCTCCACCACATACACTGAGGAAGGGCAGGTGAGGTCACAGTGAGAAGGCAGCTGTCTGTACCCCAAGGAGAGAGCCCTCACAAGACACTGACCCTGCTGGCACCTGGATCTTGGAATTCCAGTCTCCAGAACCATGAGAAATAAATTCCTGTTGTTTAAGCCACCCAGTCCATGGCATTTTGCTATGGCATTCCAAGCTAAGACAGTCCTGAGTGAAATAAAAGGAGGAGTTCCTGAGAGGATTCCTGCCCGAGAGTCAGGCAGTCAGAGCAGACATGGCTAACGATGAGAAATTGCAACCCGAGTAGACAGGCACCACCACCGACTTCTTTCAAAGTGTGGCCACACTTGCCAGGTCTCATTTAACTCTCACTGCCCAGTCAAGCAGGCATCTATCTGACAGTTGGAGAAACAGATGCAGAGGTTAAATGACTCGCCCAGGGTCACTCAGCTAGTGGCAAGATCTGGATTTGTTCCCAGCTGTAAACTGTGCCAGGATCCCTCATCCACGGCCTCGCGAACATCTCTCCTATTACTGAACCATGGGCTCTGTAAGAACAGAGGGACCGCCATTTCCTTGTTAGGTATCAGTTTCCACTGTTACCAGCTCTGGCCCTATGATTTCTCATAGCTGAATCCTTGCTGAATGGATGGAAGATCAGGACAAAGAGATTCAAGAAAACTATCCACTCACTCAGAAGCCAAGGATAAATGTATGTTAAAGGTAAATGCTACATAAATGATGTCCACGCTGGCAAACTTCTTTATGACCTTGTAGTGGTGAAGGCCCTTTAAAACCATCTCAAAGCCATAAATGATTGATATATTTGACTACATGAAAA